CATAAAAGCTTTCACTGTAGTGAGATGCATTCAAATTTTAATTTGAGTCAGTCAGATCTGATCTTCAAGGTTACAAACTTTCATTTCTAATCATTAAACTGCTCAAATTCCAAGTAAGATTATTGCTCATGTAACCTTTGTATCCTTAGTTGTTGTAAGTCATGGCAAGTCAAGTTTTCTCACATAAAGTTATTGTGTAACTGCTCTTTTTGTATGCCTTTGAACAGTTATAGTTACTGTATCTTGTATTTGTTGTATTATGTTGTGTTGTATTTGAGTTTAGGCTATTTATTTATTTATTTATTTCACCAAAAACACACAACGCAAAATAAAACTGTAGACAGACTTGACTGATCATTGTCGAAGAGAAGGCTTCAGGTTTTCCATTAATTTGTCCTTCCTCTTTATGTTACAATCAACAGTTTGAGATATACGTTTAGTTTCTGTTAGATTTGTATTGTTGATTGTCAGCTACAAACCTATCAGTTTCATTTGGTTTAATTTCTTGTGAAGAATGACACAGTAATTTAGGTTTCATGTAACTTTATCTTAGCCTCAGCATCTTCGTCTTTGAATAGTTTCGTCAGAAAAAAACAGAACTCTTATTGTGAAATGTGAGGTGATGATTCAGTTTTTGTCCCTGTTGCTTTGTTGTTTCATGTTGTTTTTGTGATAACAAAGTCCATCTGAAGACTGCTCTCGAAAAGACGAGCACCAAATGATGTTAGACCTGCTGAAGTGAGAAAGTTTTTGCAACCTGCAGGGACTCTCTGTGATCTGCCAACAATGGTACCAATGCCAAGATAAACACACTATTCATTATGTATATCGTGAAAACGACATAATTATATATTTTAACACCCTTGAAATTATATTGTCTCTTGTAAAAGGGACTTCTTTCTTCCCACTTTATCCTTAAAGTACTTGTTCAAAGCAGATTTTAAGGTATTTGGTATTCACTTACTAATATCGTAGGGTCTCTATATTATCAAGCATCACAAGGGTGTTGTTGTGAAAATCCTTCTGAGACCAAGAAAAAATAAAGTTCTGGACATTTTTTGTGTGTTTGTTTTTTGGAAGACTTTAAATTTTTAGATGATTTGGATTAAATACAAAACCTTTTTCCAAATAG